GGTTCAAAATCTTTGTGGCATTCTTTAGGGATGGCCTATGCTTAGCAGTTGACTTGATGATGATTAGTAATTTTAATTACATGATTGGATTCATAATATACTCAAACTTTTTCTGACAAAAACGTAACTTACATTAGTGTCACATTTAGCAGTGGACTTGATGATGATTGGTAATTTTAATTACATGTATTTGTTATAACGGATCATAAACACGTTATAACAAATACAATAAAAACTTGTCCATCATTTTAATAGTTATTAATAAGAGTTCTTTTAAATATCGATGTACCCCTATTATGTTGTTACGGTAAATGTGTAAGCTGGTAGCGAGTGACGAGTGGACGTGAGGAGATTTTGTTTGTTTACCGAATGCAGGCTGCGGCCGACTTCCGAGAACGAGCGCAGACGGGATGTCGTCCGGAGGATTACCTACTTACCGATCCCCGGGATGCTACTCTTGTGTCAAGCCGTGTTTGCATGTGGTTGTGGCGCAATGATGTAGAGTCAGATAACGCTAGGTTTCGCGGCTAGAACATTGTGTCGAGGTTCATTTCAAATATGTCGTCTTTTATATTATTTAAATATGTTGATGACACAACTGCTTACAGGCAGACACCTTGTTCTGCTATTAGATCATTGGAAAAGATGTTTTCTATATTTTTGCATATCATAAGTTTTGTCGGTGTCGGCGAGCGTTAAAAAAATCACTTCTGTGTGTGTGTGTATATATAAGCGTATAGGGCTTTCCTTAAAGTCTATCATTCATTTTTCAAAATTTTCATAACTTTTCCAGGTACGTAGATAGGGTACGATATAAAACTCATAAAATAGATTGTTTTTTTCGTAAAAAATCATGATTTGCGTCAACGTTACATTTTATTTGAATCAAACTCTGGCTCATCATCGTATATATGCGTGAAAGTAATTGAGAAAAGTAAGTGAGAACTTTTATTTATTTACTTACTTGTTTTTTTTATTGCATTACTATATTTTTAATAGTAATGTAATAATATAGAAGAATAAGGGTGACAAGTGAGCACACAGCCCACCTGATGGTAAGTGGATATTGTGGCCCATAGACATCTACATCTATCCTCGATTAAGCTCTACACTACTCACTACTCACCATACGAAACACAGCAGCATTGAGCTGCTATTTTACGCTATTCTGTGAGAACGTGGTCCTTCCTCGGTCGAGCCGACCCTTTCATGGTACAAACATAATATAGCTGCAGCATGACTCTGCCACGTGTATTAAATAATATAATATATTATGTAGATTACATTTTTATTTGATTATAGTACCAGTTACTTGACTCCATCGAGTTCAATAATTGATTCTCGTGGCGATGTACATACGCTTTTACAACAAAATTCCAGTGGACCTGCTCAAAGTTCAAAAACTTTATCAAACTAAGTTTGTATAAAAAGGGTTATTATAATATTAAAGAATTTATGGATGATAATAACCCCTGGAAATGAGGTGATTGCTACCAAGCTGTTTCTAATTTGTTGTGTTGTTAATTTGTGTAACATACATAATTGTAAGCATTTTAAAAAAAAAGTCCCGCTGGGTTTCTTGCTGGTTCTTCCCAGGACAGAGGTTTTTTTCGAACCAGTGGTAATCTAACAAAAGAGTGACTTTCAATAAGTATTATTTATAATCTATATTGAATAAAAAAGTTTCTGTTTTGTATGTCTGTGGTATTCTTTTCCAGTCAATACTTGGTGAGAATTAGACGTAGGTATAGAGAAATTTTTTAAAAAGATTAGAATCTAATATAAATACACATATATTATTATGATAATATATTTAATTGTACTCATTATTGTATTGTACAATATATTGTAATAAAATATAATATTATAAATAGATATATTTTCTATCCTTTCTTTTTTAATACTAATATTTCCATTATTAAATATATATATATAATATACACACACGCGTATCTACTTACAAAAAAAATACACACAACTACGAACACTTATCAAAATTCTTATATCGTGCTCTGTAGTGTCGACGTAATTATGAGTGTCGTAAGAGGTCTCAGAAAGAAACTAAAAATGTGATGGGAAACAAGCAAGAAGATGCTGCTAATCTTCCTGATAACATCCTAAAATAATAGAAAATTCCGCCGTTTCCAAACTTCCTGCATAAAGTAGGAATCATCATCATTTAGAAAATCATGATCATTTAGAATAGAGAAATGAACAAGTAATAATCTAGAGTTGCGCCTTAGCCTTATGCTGAACTAGTTAAGCTGAGATCTATATTAAGAAATGTTGTCAAACTATCGCAGATAAAAAATTAAAATCTAATACAGTTACTAAGCAGGCGCTACAGCTTGTTAAGGAGTATACATTGTACATATAGCTGCAGATCATCGGCATACAATCAATATTATGGATCAAGTTTCTAAAAATTCCGAAGATAATAGGCACACCAGCTTCCACTTCAGTCCAAACAGAGGTCATTTGACCTGCGGGAACTGATTGCTTCTTGTTTTTTGGAACTCGGTTGATAAAAGCTAAATATAAATTACTGGTATTAATTATGGTAGGTGGTAATGATAGTCACTTAAAGCAAATTAGCTCGACTAGAGGCAAAAACTTACTTAAGAGTAATGTACAAGAGGTCCACTATTACACTGTTACATGCAGATGCTTTTATCTCCTTGTATGTTATTACATTGTAGATGCTGTAACAGCCTTTCTCAGCTTCCCCGTTCATAGTAATTAATGGTATCAATTAAAAGTTCTTTTAGAGTGGAGACCGAGCGTAGACTTAATGTGGTAAGCCTTGAGTAAGTCTTTGTAAAATCTTTGGCAAAAATTTACTAGCTAGCAGAGCTCGGAACTCAACTCTTACTTAACTCTTTTATTACATCTCTCGCATATATATATATATATATATATATATATATATATATATATATATATATATATATATATATATATAGTAGTATAGTTGTAGCACGAATGGGTCGGCTCGACCGGGGAAGGACCACGCTCTCACAGAATACCAGCGTAAAATAGCAGCTTAACACTACTGTGTTTCGTATGGTGAGTGTAGAGAACCGGAGACCCTTTTTACTGGAAAAGAGGCATTTTATCTTAGTCCTCATGGGTGACAACGCATCTGCATTTTGATTCGCAAACGAGGACAGATGTAGATGTCTATGGGCCACAGCAACCACTTACCATCAGGTGGACTGTGTGCTCGTTTGTCACCCTATCCTATAAAAAAAAAGTACTATATACACTTTCGAGTCCTGTGCGTTGTATGGGAAAATTATAAAAGTATAGTTATTATTATTTTTCATATTGACTTAAAATAACAATGCCATAATATGTATATGTATATATAGAACTGTGCGCCACTCATAAATGTCGTTTACTCGAATACTATTTGCAGTTATTTTTACTGCATGTTTCTCTTAGATTTATATTGCAATTAGGCCTTATACTCGGTTTGGTTTTTTATTGTTCCACATATTTTGGCTATTTTGTCCGACAGATAGAAACTAATAGTGAGAGCGACTAATTTCTTGTCTGTCGAAGCAATGATGAGAGTTAAGTACTTTTCATTTGAAATTGATATTGATTGTGGTGCATGTGCTACAATATTTGCAAAACTAAGATGTTTTAAATAATTGAACTGTTCTTTAGAAGTAAAGAATTATAAAAAGCCAGTTTTTGCTGATAGCGTTATCGTAGTATAACAAATAAATATGGCGGTTACGTTACTGTGATATATACATTGGCAAACGGATTATTCGGGTTTGTTGTGAAAATTAAATGTAAAGTACGAGTCCATATATATCACACAAAATTATTTTCATTTCTGAGATAGTTTTAGGACGAGGAGCACGATGAGCCAATGCGTGTTCACGGACTTCAAATATTCGCGTGATAAACTAAATCAGTATGTACTTAAAAGTATAAATAGAAATGATTTCAGTGATCGAATTTCGTTTGCCATCGTACAATAAAATTTTGTAAGGCGCTCGCTCGTTCCCTCCGTTACCATGGCTCGTTGATATGTTGTTATAACGTGCCAATTTGCGTGTCTAACCAATTATATGTATGATTGCATTAGTTTTCGCGTCTGTTAGTATAGCAGAGGACTACCTCTACACAACACCATATACTATATGTGATTGTCTTTATGTCTCTGATAATACGGGTAGGTTAAGTATATATTATACAATATACGAGTTACATGACGTGGCCAGATGGTAGAATTTATCATATGGTGGCATTTTATAACATATTACACCAAACGATAACTGTTGATCATATAATGAAACAGCTTGAACAAATCAATGAATAAAGATCGTTTGACGATAAAAACCATAAAAACCATGTTGCACTCACCATCAGATCAAATTGTATCCATTATTCTTTGAAATAAAAAAAATGGTTTTACTATTCTGGCTAGCAACGCAGATAGCGCATTTTTTAACAGAATCCAGATCACTTAATGCCTAATTTATATATCATAATATATTATTGCCCTAAAACTCTCTCGGAAATAAGGGGAGGCCTGTGCCCAGCTGTGGGACGTATATAGACTGTAACTAACTTTATATTATTATAAATGTACAAAGCTTTGGCCGCATCTCAACCTGTTGTGTGAACTACTACCTGGGTTGACAATATCTACCAGCTCATTGCATGCTTCATTAATAAGTTCTTCTAGTTAAAAATTAATAAACCATATATGTTTCACTGCTAACATATGCCTTCCCTCATTTTTGATAGGGTTATGCGCTGCTCCAGTGCATGTTGGCGGACTTCACCTGTCTTCGATCGTTAAAATGTACGTTTTTAAAAATGCAAACACAAAAAATTGCAATTTATAATTTCATCGGTGTCGGCGGGGATCGTTGCTCGCATATTGTGAAACTACGCCGTGCGCTTAGCCCATGCTACCATTGCTCATTCCTCTAGTGAAACAGAATTATGTTGTTAATCCTTTTATGTTGTTTCAGGTGATGTGGCTGGTAGCCGCTGTTCTCGCGGTGGCTTCGCTGCGAGCTTGTGCAACACCATGTACCGAGGCTCGAACTCGATGCGCCTACCGCACGGGGTGTGGTTACGCGCTGAACAACTATATGTACTTATGTAGCGACGTGCTGTCCGAACCCACCAGCGTCTGCCCCAAACCCTGCGAACATGCGCTCATTGCGCTAACTTCGACTGAAGAAGGAAAGGAGCTAATGAATGTAAGATTACGTTTATAAACTTTTTTTCTCTCGTTTTTTTCTTAACAGCCTGTAAAACGCTAGTGGTCAAGGATTTGCCGCGAATCGCAGGTTTAATTACTGAACGGGGCACGTTTTTGTATGTTATACCTAGTAATAAGTGTGCCGAGATTGGGTATAAGTCCGTGTGCTTCATTGATTTGTGCTTGTTTATGAAATGCCAACATGATGTAGGAGAAATTAGTATAATAGGAATAAAGTTTTTTTTTTATTACACTCACGGAATAAACGAAAGTTTGAATAGGTATCCGACCTCTAAAAGAGAGGGTTCGCTGTAAGCACCACCTGCGGTTTAGCGATCGTTATAGCAGACGTGTGTTACTTTTGGTAAATGAGATACTTGTAAATACTGCCAGTATTATTGTCAGGTGTTAAGTTTTGTTGGAATTCTTCATCGATGATGCTTTCGAAAGTCACGGGAAAAGATACGACGTCAATTATCTAATGATTTCTTATATTTATGCGAACACTACACATTTAAATAAAACTAGGTTTACGAATTTTATCGCGTATACTTACTTATTTTATATTCCCGACGTTTCGAGCACTTTACAGCACCCATGGTCACGGGGGGGGGGGGGGACAACGACTGAGGTGTACGGCTACCTCCATATTGAAAATTATTAATTTTTGTTCCGATCTACGCAGTATGAACTTACAGTATTTTGAAGTTTTGCAGTTGTATGCTTGGGTTGGGATTTAATTTTATTAATTATGGGATCCCAAGCAAATGGTAGCACCCAGCCGTCTTCTCTATTGAAATTAGGATGTTTTTTAATTTCAATAGCCTCGCGAATCACCTTGGAAGGAATCGGTGTTCTTTAGCGAGGATTTGTGGTCTATCAAATCTAATGTAGTGACGGGGGTGATCCTGTACGTGTTTACAGACTGCAGACTTCTTTAAGCGTGGATTCTTCACATCAGCTATATGGTCTTTAACGCGGGCGGGTTTTTATGGATCTTTTGGTTTGTCCTATATAAGAGAGACCACCACAATAAAGCTTGTACACTCCTGTATCTTGCAGAGGGACATTACACTGGAATGATGGTATAAACTGACTAATCTTCTTTGGCGGCTTGAAGTATGTTTTAATGGAAGCACGCTTCAAGATGTAGCCAATCTTGTCACTGACACCTCTGACATATGGCAGTACAGCAGGCACTCGCTTGACTGTGGCCGGCTTCACTCGTTCACTGTGACGTAGACGCGGGACCCGAAGCTTATTGTCGTGCAAAACTTACTTGACGTGTTGGAGCTCGACGGCCAGGTGTTTACTGTCACAGATCCCTCGGGCTCTCTGAAACAAAGATTTACCCACGGTAGCTAACTGTGAAGGATGGTGATGAGAATCACCGTTTAAATATCTATCTGTATGGGTCTTTTTTCTATACACAGTGTGGCTCAAGGTGTTATCAGGATTCCGAATTACTAACACATCTAGAAAAGCTAAAGAATTGTTTGCCTCTAACTCCATTGTGAACTGAATTTTAGAATTTATGGAGTTAAGATGGTAGAATTGTGAAAGTGTCGTCTACGTACCGCTTGTAGAATCTTGGGTTTACGGGAGAAGTAAGCAGGGCTTTCTCTTCAAAGTCTTACATGAATATATCGGCGACAACGGGAGATACAGGTGAGCCCATCGCCACGTCATCTACTTGCTTGTAGAACTCTTCCTTCCACAATAGGTAGCCAGATGTAAGGCAGTATCTGAGTAATACTGCATGTTCTACGGGCATGTAGTTTTCCTCCAGCCTTCTAGTAACAATTGAGATGCAGTCTTCAACAGGTAAGCATGTGAACAGAGACTGCACATCAAAACTGACCATAATTTCATTGTCTGCCAGATGTAGGTCTTTAATCTCGCTGAAAAAATGGTAGGAATCCTTTGTGTGTGCTCTTGTATGTCCCCTGAGCGGTGAGAGTATTTTTGATAAGTCTTGAGCCAATCTGTAAGTTGGTGAATCGATTTGGCTCACTATGGGATGTAGTGGAGCATTGGGCTTGTGTATTTTTGGTAACCCATACAACTTCGGTGGTTTGGCACACGGAGGTATTATCGATTTTACGTCTAGATTTAATTTTTTGGAGTGTTTCTTTATGAGGTCACTAGTTGTTTTAAGTGTGTTATTTGTTGGGTCATTTTTCACCTTTTTATAAGTGCTTGCATTGACATAAGGACGTCATACACCTCAGTATCCCCCGTGACCACGGGTGCTGTAAAGTGCTCGAAACGTCGGGAATATAAAATTAATTAATATACGCGATAAAATGCGTAAAATTAGTTTTATTCAAAATGCAGATTGTTTGTCACCCCTGACGACTAAACTGGAGTGCCTTGTTTCCAGTAAAAAGGGTCTCCGGTTCTCTACATTCACCATACGAAACACAGCAGCATTAAGCTGCTATTTTACGATGGTATTCTGTGAAAGCGTGGTCCCACCCCGCCGAGCCGACCCATTCGTGCTACAACCATAATATAGCTGCAGCATGGCTCTACCACGTAAAAAATATGTGTGCCTGTGTATAATAATAGAATCATTTTTATTCAATATAGATTACAGTACCTAATACTCATTGAAAGTCATTTTTTACTTTTACTGCTGGTTTGCAAAACACTTCTGTTCTGGGAAGAACCAGTAAGAAACACAGCGGGACTTTTTTTTGAAGCACATTTTACAAAATAATATTTTATACACTTGTTATGAAAACATTAAGGCAGTTTGCATTGTTGGCATGGTTAACGGCGCTATAATTTAGCTATAGTTTATAGTTTAGTATAGTTTACCTATAGTAGTATATAGTCAGTATGGATAAAAAGTATCAGAGAAGATCTCGTAAGGATATCCATTTACCTTTATAGAGATATAACGTGGACTATTGAATCTGATGATTGTCAATAAAGGAATGCTTTTGAAATGGCAGTGTTAACGGAAAATGCCAAGGTTTTCTCGAATAGCACACCGTGTACGTATCGGCTTAATGTTAACTTAAAAGACGAAACTATCTGACGCCTCTTGTGGGTGTTTGTCCGTCGCCTTGTGTATGTGAATTTACGCCCGTATTGTAAGGAACAGGGAAATTATGACGTAACTTTATAATCGAAAGGTAATTGAAGAAGTCTAAGGAGTAACAGAATTGAGCAATACGACATTAAAAGAAGCGAAGAATAACAGGTAGGTTTAGAAACATCATCTTGAATCTCTGACAACATCTTTTAAATACTGTCAATAGTCATACAAAAACGTTATACCTTTTACGTACACGTGCCTTCTGATTGTACAGTTGTATCGTTTGTTTGAATGGAACAAAAATAAACCTTATACGATTTACACTTAGGTTCACGATGTACGTAAGTATGAGTGCTAAAGAACTTTTTTCTTATTTATTTAAATTTTATTATAGAATAAGAGTGACAAATGAGCACACAGTCCACCTGATGGTAAGTGGATGTTGTGGCCCATAGAAATATATACATTTATCCTCAATTAAGAATCAAAACGGAGACCCCTGAGGACTGAGATGGAACCACTCGTTTCCAGCAAAAGGGGTATCCGGTTCTCTACACTCATGTTACCATACGAAACACAGCAGCAATGAGCTGCTATTTTACACTGGTATTCTGTGAGGTCCTTCACCGGTCGAGCCGACCCATTCGTGCTACAACTATAATAGTTATAGTTGCAGCGTGGTTCTCTCACGTATAAAAGATCTTGTAGCTTGTTATTTTATATGTGAATAAATTGTGGGCGCCCAAAAGAACAAACAAATAAATTAAAATTGATATAAATGTTCAATGATATAGCGTTATCAAAGTCAAGGCAAGTTTGAGCGTTCTTTTACTATTAAGTGTGATCACTGTGAAAATGGAGTATTTAAATTACAACCATTCAAATCCTTACAATAAAGCTAGAACAATAAAAGGTTGAGCATGTCACAATAAATTTTCATGACCAGTTGTTTGTAGCCGCGTCTCTCTCAATTGAGATACACGTCCAGTTTTCTGAGAGCTTTTTGCAGACGACTTCGGGTTATAGTGAACGAATTAAGCGGTGTCGCGCTAAGTTGGTTTTGTCCGAGTACACAGACGCTTAGTAATAAAATCTAATTTAGACGTCAGATTTGTCGGATGCGATGCAACACCATCGAGTGATGGTCCCGGTTGATGACCCCATATCTACTGTTTCCAAATTACAGTGTAAACTCATAATGTATCTATTAATAGAGCTTACATAAATCTTTAGTATTTGAGACCATATGTGGTAGATAAATAAAATTATTATAACTTAGTGAGTTTATGACTTATTGCAGAAAGTTGTAGTGTAAAAACTTCTTATTTATGAATTGGTTTGGTATACCTATTTTATTCTTTAGAAAACTTTTTAGCTAGCACTCGCTATCTACCTACAAACATTGCTTGATATTTCAACGAAGAAGACCAGGCAAATAGTCATTGTAGGTATCTTTCAGCATAATATTATTCAGTTACGAAACGATTCATCATTATGATTAATGCAAATGATAACTGAGAGATAAAGTTTGTAAAAATAAAGAATAACATAAGAGAAAATGCCTCATTAGGCGTTTTCTAGAGGTGAAAGTTTCTTGTGTAACATTTTACACAAGAGAGTTTCACCCCCCACTGGGACTAATGAAATTGTTAATTGTAATTTTAAGTACTAAGCATATGGTAAATGGTCCACTATAACTTTGTATTTATGCTTGGAAAAGTATGCTTAACGCATGCATTTTAAATTTAAAAAAGAATGAAATGTTTTTCTTAAGGCGTTACCCCATCAAGGAACGGAGATAGTCGTATCTCTATATTGGGCCTCCTTTGGAGTGTAGCTGTCGACTAGATTGAGGATCCAAGAAAATCAGTCACTACAGCGAACTTTCACACCTCGTCATTACGCAACAATTGGAAAAAAACTTATTTCATTTTCTAAAGGATGCAATAACGTAAAACTTAATATCAATGTACATATGCTGGTTTTTCTTTAAATATACAGTAGCCATAATAAATATTGAACTTAATTATACTGTAATGACTCAATATGACCTTAGTTCCGTAGATAATTCGATTTTGAACCGGTCAAACCTCTAATTATACCGTTGTAACGGTGTGATTATTGTGGTTCGGTTGGGCAATGTGTATCGAAAGGCAAGGCAAAGGAGAGGTCGCGTTCAGCCTTGAGATTTGACGTCTTGATCGGGACCTACCGCAGCGATCGTTCTGGCGCAGGTGTTGCCATGTTTCCACAAAAAAAAAAAATACGTAAGACGGAGGCTTCTTTATTTCTTTGCGAATAAGTCATAGTTAAATTTGAATTGACTCAGACACAAGATGTCCATTTCATTAAATATTAAATACAGTTATTGATTTGTTCTAAATGGGAATAGGTTCTTAACAATTGTTGCATTTCTATTCTAATTTTTTCTTATACTTTTTTATCTTCTTATTTTTACTTGAATTCCATTGCGATCGAAGTGAAATGTTTTACTTTCTCAATCCAAATAAATTTCATTCCCTCAACTGTCCATTAAATTTATGTGAACGTAATAAAACATTTCTAAAATAAAATATGTGAACTCAGTTTTTAGATCTGTGGCATATTACAGTCACGGTTTTATTATGTATAATTTGTAATAAAAGTAGAATGTTATATGTCGTAAAATTATTTTACGAAGAAGGAACATTGTAATGCGCCACACTCAGACCGCATTTTTTTTAAAGGACTATTCACTATAGTGGATATTCGTTTCCATGTTAAAATAATACAACATGCATTATAAGCACTTTCGGATTGTAGCTGATTTTACTGAGTTATTAATCTTCAAGTCCAAATACGAATTCATCACGGATTTTAGAGGGCAGAGAATTCCATAATTACGTACTGCGTTAACAGTAAAAGAATGAGAATAGAGATTAGTATTGAGAAATGGAAATTTTAACAGTATTCTAGTATTTAATCTACATAGTACATCTGGAGAATTAACAAAAGAAAAACTTTTTAGATATGACGGAATAGCAGGATTATGTAGAATATTGAAAAGGAGACGGAAGATTTGAGTATTCCTGCGAAGGCGGATTGGGAGCCATTTAAGATGCTTGCGACAAACATATACATGACACAATCTTGTTATAAATAATTATATATCTAACTAAAAATTAAAAGAATAATAAACTTACCGATTCTTCCTTTCTGATTTCTCTGTAGAGATCTAATTACTTTTTATATCGGTACTTAATAGATTATAACGTTCACAAGAGTTTCCCTATAAGCCTAAAACGAGTATTCTCACGTTTAACTAATTTATTATCGTCATCAGTCTTAGCGTGCACTTGTCCAAGTGTAGGAAACTCTAAATAAAAGTGCTCAACAACGATCCTGCCTGACATTAAGTCTCAGATGGTTAAATCTAATAGCTTGGAAAGAGTCCATAAATTCTTCAAATTTTGCTAGAGACAATTATTGTAATTTTTGTGCGTAAAAACACAGAGAGCCATCTTACGATTGTGCTCCAGGCTAACCAGATCGGTAGTTACCAATTTAAGATCAGCACTAAATTTTTGGCATGTCACTCCACTATGTCCAATTTGCAAGTTGATATTTAGCATTACTAACAGTCACGTGTGGTGGGCGACGTAAGGGCATTCATCACCCCTTTTTGTCTCGTCGGTGTCGTAAGAGACGACAATGGGAAATACGAGAAAAATATTAAGTCTTCCGATAGATGGCGCTATAACCATCTTGTTTATTCGTTTACATCGTCTTGGTAAGCAACGTCATAGCAACTCATCTAGCACTGTGATCGTCAATCCGTCTGCCAATCGTGACGATTACTTCTTCATAACTACGGGGTTCTTTAACAGCTGTGGACTTTCAAGGGCTGACTGTTCCCCGCGACTTCGCTCGCGTGTTAGGGTTTTTATGGTTAATATTATATTAATTTCCTTAAATTTTTGTCGCAGCGACTCTTTAGGCTTTAAATCATAAATTGCTCTTATGGCCCTCTTCTGTAAAACAAATATAATTTCAGTGTCAGCTGCGTGTCCCCATAGCAAAATACCATACGACATTATGCTATGGAAATAGCTAAAGTAAACTAGTCTAGCTGTTTCAACACTGGTTAGACTTCTAATCTTTTTTACAGCATATGCTGCAGAACTAAGTCTGCTTGCTAGTTTTGATATATGGGAGCTCCATTGAAGCTTCGCGTCTAGTGTGATTCCAAGAAAAATGGTGGTATCTACAAGACTCAGTTACTCCCCATTTAAAATTACATTTAAAATAAAAGTAGCCTAAGTTACTCCTTATGAAATCAGCTACCTGCCAGTGAAAGTTCAGTCAAAATCGGTCCAGCCGTTTCGGAGATTAGCCGGAACAAACAAACAGACAGACAGACAGACAAAATTTAAAAAAAATTGTTTTTGTTATAAGTACCGTATATACTTTCATATGCAATTAGTAAAAAGCTGTAATTTTGACATTACAAACAGACACTTCAATTTTATTTATTTGTATAGATATATTTTTAATTAGAATAGAAAATTAGAACGACAGAACACGATAGCGTTAGTACTATTATTTATTCTGTGATAGCGTGATGAATTATCTATAACGTACGGTGAATCTGTTTAAGAATTTTTTTTGTAAATGTCCTTCAGTAAATATACTGATGCATATGTTTAAAAATTCCTACGCTAAATGCCAGGACAGATTCCGGTAGTAGTTAGCGTCTTAAGTGCGTAATTTAGACTGTAGTCGCCAGTCGTTTTGGCAAATTCTTCATTCCGATGGATCGTCAGTCCATTACAGGCTTTGATTATAAGAAATGTAATGTAGTTTTTTTTTTGTTATAGTGTCAGTGCGACGACGAATATTGCGTGGAAGCGAAGCAAAGGATTGACATATGTCGATCTCAGGTGTTGAACGGCGCAGCAAATGCGACGTCATCGTGCCGTCTTTCTCAGCTGATCTGCCTTGCGGACGCCCAATGTTCAACGGCTCTGAGCTACTATCGACAGCTCTGCCGTTCAATGTACCGCGGTCGGAAGTGTTCGAACCGGTGTCTCAATTCCATAGAAATACTGAAGAAGCAAGAAAAGGCCGCAGCGTTGACAGAATGCCGCTGTGACGGTGACGAAGATTTCGATTGCCCGAGGATGCAAAGCAACCTTGCTAGGCTATGCTTCCATAAGCACCAAAAGAATAATACTAGAACACACAAGAAAACGCCTCACGAAGAAACGTCATCGGCTACTGCAACTGTCACACCAGCGTCAAGTATCCTAGTGCTCATTTATATGTTCTATTGGTTTACGTATACGTAACGATATTAACGATGCCTACCTCAGAGTAGATTAGATTAAGGTAATGCATCGAAGTACAACGTTTTTTGTAAATATGTACATAGCAATATTGAAATTAAATTATATATAATTTCTATTTATAAGCGAGGAATATCAAGGAAGAGTGTAATTAAAAATGCTATAGTATAGCCCCTTTTTTCAAATATGGTATTATTTCATGATGTCATAAACTGTTGAAAGATTAACGGATAATCGCTCAATTTTCTACGCTAGCCAACGTAAATACAAGCTTGAGGCGACACGTGGGCGAATAGTTCTAAATGTGTGCACAGTTAATACAGATATTCAGATAAAGCGACGGACGCTTCAGCCGCCCACAGACGCATGCGCGGGCGTCGCTATAAATATGGCGGTGCTGGTGGTCCGGTGACAAATGTCAGACGCTTACCGTCGGGGCGCCACGTTAATTTAACTTCGACTAGCACGAACTTTTTTGTATGTTGACATTATGACATGACATTATTATTATCACCTGTAATTATTGGCTGTTGAAGGTTATTACCTACATGGCGAGACGTATATGATGCCACTCTACTTGCATAAAAACCTTTGGCGTTCCTTTCTTGTATCTCGCAATAAGAAGTGGATGTTTTCCATATATTTAATATTTTAAATAGACTGATATGGAAGCTAGTTTACTGTTCTGTTGTGAGTTTAAATTTCTACAATATACTTTTGTTCTGTTTATATATTTCTCAAATCAAATTAATCAAAAATGTTTACATTTGTTTTTTTTTTACAATATTTATTATATTTGCTCCAATCTATTCTCATTTCGGTTACGCAACAATACACTTTATATTTCTTTTAAAAAGAACAAACAAAAATACTAATGCCAGTGACAAAACGTTTAACTCTTACTCTAGTCAAGGAAGTGGATGCTCGTAGCTAATTCCGATAAGCGCGACACTAATCGTCTCTCAGATGTTAGCGCGTTACAAAAATGTGGAGCGGGATTCCGCTGTCACTTTGACGTTTTTTTTTTCGCTTTCTTTTTCGACATCCTTTTCAGCCTGATGAAATTTTCGGCCTACTCATTAGCGCATACTTCATTGACAAAGTTGCAGCGCGTTATGGTGGAGCACTATAAAGAAAATGGGTGATATGTGAATTAGAGGAATTTCTGCAACTTTGGGAGGCGCAGGTTCTCGAATACTGTTCCCATCTCTGGGTTGGAGCTCCCCAGTGCTAGCTCCTTTCACTTGACCGCATCCGGCGCAGAGCGGCTCGAATTGTCGGCGACCGAGTCCTTCCCGATTGGCTCTATTCACTGGCGCTGCGAAGAGATGTTGCATCTCTTCGCAGCTACCACGCTCTTCATTTTATTGCTCTACCACGGGGAGTGCTCTGAGGAATTGTTCGGATTAATTCCAGGCGGTCAATTTCACCATCGCACATCGCGACCAAAACTCACGATACCATCCATACCACTGTGCGATTTAGAAGATGTTTTCTTCCTCGTACAACTTCCTTGTGGAATCGATTATCACCAGCGATTTTTCCGGACCGATACGACTTAGAGACCTTCAAGAAAAGAGCCTACTCCTTTTGCAAATGCATCTGCAATTCCCCTGGTGTTGCAGTTGTTCATGGCCAGCGGTAGTCACTTACCATCAGGTGCGCCGCATGCTCGTTTGCCCACTCCCCTATAAAAAAAATATGAAAGTAATTATCTGTATAAAATTTCACATCTAAGTACCGAAGCCTATGTTATTATGAAATTTGTCTAAATTATAGTAAACATATTGTCAACTTTTTAGTTTCACAATTTATTATAATTGAATAATAAGTATTTTTTCTATTTTTCTTACAATCCGTTTTAAATAAGACATTAAAACTGCCAGCGTTCACTTTAAAGCCATAAAACATATTTTTATAGTGTTAGTGAAGAGTATACAAATAGATTCCACTAGAATCTAATGCAATGTAGACCGTGTAGAGAATTGAGGTTTGTCGGTACGTCTGTACTCAAGTTGGGCAGTATCTAATAAAGAGGTGTAGAACCGGTTCCGCCAAAGCAAGTCCTCATGTACTCCCGTAGAACCGCGGCGCGTAAGCCGATATCCACCGACAAACAGAAAAACAATCTAACTGTTTTAACGGATAATTAATTTTTGTCAATATTGGATGAATTGGTTTGTTTTACCTTTTTGTTATTTCGAAGTTCGGGTTCGTTTGTTTAAAAACAATGAGTGAGGTATCTATTTGTATAATCGATGTAATTGGTAATCATAAAGGTTTGAGATGTAACGGCTTATTACTGTAACATTAATTGGAATGCTTGGAGATTTAAAAAAAAATGTTTCATGTTTCATAGCAAAATCTAGTATGAGATGGAGCCCTACCATCAAGTTAATATACAAATTTATTTACACACCATATTCGTTGCATATGGTTTCAATTCCAAACCAAGTTAAAATATTTAATTTGCGAAAGTTATAATACATTAAAATAAACATATTAAAAGGCAAAGCAAATGCAGGTAGTGCATTTATCCTGACTTGAGAGAGTTGAAAAACTATAAATCAACTATGGAGTAGTTGTAATATGAACATTACCATATATTCAGTTGAAGATATTGATGACCGAACAGACGTAAATTTTCAATTAAATATCAGTATTTTCAGTAGAATATAAATTTGGTATTAGAACATACAAATGACCTTTATTTAAAATATACTTTAACAAGATGTAAGATACATACTTTATATGAGATGCAATCATTATGTTTTACTATGTATGCATTTTATACTTTATATTAAATAAGATGAGATAAAAATGTATTTCTTTGAGAAGCTTATGTATGAGTTTAACATCATTTAAGCAAGTTTAATAACGATTTTGATTGTTACAGTGCACATACATTAAATAAATTTCTGTTTTCTTCGCCTTTACATTACCGACTGCATTTCGTATGCATCTTGCAAACAATTGCTTACTAATGTTTCGTCGCCCGAATCATGTCGCTCTGATGCATAATGCAAAAGTCACGATAATGCGGAGAATATGAACGAAGGCAACCTCCTTTTTGATTTATTCGTTTTGACTTATAATATAGTGGCCATCTTCACTGCCGCTTTGCTGAAACTAACCATGGAGATATAAAATTAATTTGTAGCATCCTCTTGACTTATAGTTCACATGTTCAGAGATTTATTACACGAAATTGCATAATATAATTACATTAAAGTTCACTTTAAACCATTTCATAAATAATAAATGCAAGCAGTAATTCGCTTGTGGTCGTTTCTGCCAAAAGTCCCAGATTACAACTGCTACATGTTACAAATTTTTTTCATCATGGATTTTTTTCTGTATTAAGAACATTATCTAAATATAAATATATGAACATATTCTATTTATTATAATATGAAGTTCATTAATTCTAGTGTAATTCTAGTGATGTTAATGCTGTTAGCCTATGTGGCTCTTACAGCTTCATCGGACTCAGGCGGATTATCCCTCTCTGCTCTGTTGCTCTAAAAAAGGGACCCAAAGTGGAAAGAGATAATATGTTATTATGGCAAAAAACAAAAAATATCTAGTGCTAGTATCAGTGCAAGAGTGCAGCATTACAACATTTAATGATAGGAATTACAATTGTAATGAATATGTATCTTGTTGCTGCGAATTTAAACATTGTTTACGATGGTATTTTTTATATTTTTGTGTGTGTTTTGAATGTTTGCTTTGGAAGTAGCATTGTGTAATTATTAATAATTTAAAAAGTTAAGGAGCTTTCAATATATGAAATATTATTCAGATTGATAGTGCTAAAATATTTTATAATTCATTAACCACAGTTTACCAAAGTGAGATTATTAGAATAGTAACAGCTTTGTAAATAAGTTAGGATTAAGGTTAAGGTAGGTTAAGCGGTATTTTTAGTAATATTTTTATTAAATTAAGTAAGACATTTCGTACAAAGTATTTTAAATTTTAAAAATATTAATTTATTGATTAGATACGGTTTAGTATTTAAAAAAAAAACATTGTTGTTTTTGTTTCGTTTTTGTGAAATCATTTTAAGTATTTAAGTTGTATTTATTTGGAAAGAAATAACTAAAATAAAGTCTTTGTTTTCTATATTTGATTTTTATTTACGTGTCTAGTGATTTGAAAGAAATTTACCGCTAGATTATACAAATATTATTTGATGCTCAATCCCCATTATCATCATCATCATTACTGCTCTTCACAAGTCTACTTCTAACCATAGCCCACTTGAGCCACCTGCCATCGCCTTCTTGCAAGGCGTAACTGCTTGTCAGTCCTTTTTTTATCGTGATAGAGATTCCACTCTAGAATCTTTTTTCCCCATCGGATGTCATAAAGCTCTACAAAAAAGAGACAGGCTAGACGGTGATCACATCTTATTTATGTTGTTACAATTTTACAATTATTGCTATTTCTTCATCAACGACCAGTAAAAGTGCACTGTTGTATACGGTCATCTAACGTTATAGGAAGGATTTGTCAAAATCAATACGCTTGGCAGTTGATATGCGTATTGCCAAAAAAGAATCGGCCACGATTGCTTATTTGTCAATACGGTGTAATTGGTGCCAACCAGACCTCTCAAAACGTAACGTGTTTTACTTTTGGCGTAAACGCGATAATCCTCCGGTCATCTCCTGGTCACATCAAATTTTTTGGGTATTTCCTCAAAAATGGAGTATTTAGTAATGTATCGTGAGATACTCTTGAATTGATTTTCTTATACTGCTACCACATGTCAAAGGCCTCATTACACTAGTAACACAAAATAGACGAAGATTGGAGAACAGTTCATGAATCTCTTCTAATTGGGTACCGTTTATTATGTTTATTACTTTTCTTAATGTTAATTATTATGAATGAATCAGATATATTATGTTCGTACCGTATCCGTCCCAAATAATATAAACATAAATTACGATATCATATTATCATATTATTTGGGATTGTTACATTTAGTAGTA